ATTAATTTCTTTCTAATTTTTAGTAGAGACAGGGTCTCGCTCTTGCTCAGGCTGGTTTCGAACTCCTAACCTCGAGCAATCCTCCCGCCTCGGCCTCCCAGAGAGCTAGGATTACAGGCGTGAGCCACCGCGCCCGGCCTTGTGCCAGGTAGTTCTAGCTCAGGGTGACAGGGCTGGCCGGGAAGGCGCACACAACGGGGCAGTGTGGACCAGGCAGCTGACCGCCCCGTCTCACACGCACTTTCACTCCCCGGTTTGGAGCAGAGGGACGCAGGCTTGGGGAGGATGTCTTCTTCCAGGCCCTGTTGATCCCAAATGATAGAAACCCGTTTGAAGCCCTGTGGACCACAGAGGGCGAGTCTCTGGTCATTCTTTCCTCCTCCTCGGCTTTGTTCTTAGGACTCATCTCAGCTTAAGGAGCTGGTCTGGTCTATTCTAGGGATCCCTCTCACCACTAGGACATGATGGCCCTTGCCTGTTTAATTCTTTGTGCTTAGCTCAGTGCCTCGCATATTGTACGCGCTGAGTAAATGTTTATTAGCTGATGGCTGCGGGGACACCTTGGTTGAGTTTGACAGAAGCAGGTGTCGGCAAAGGGAGGGGTTGCTCAGGGCAGAGGGAGCTGCGGGAAGGCCCAGGGACGAGGCAGGAGAGAGGACCGTGGGAGTGGTGGGTCGGTCCGCACAGCTGGGGTCCCAGCTCATGGCAGGGAGGTGCAGGGAGGCGCGGGGTGAGCACGCCGGACCTTGGGGGCCTTGTGTGCTGGGCCGTGGGGCTTGGATGTCACTGGCCACCAGCGGTGGAGAGCGCTCAAGGCGGAGCGCGGCGTGGGCCTCTGTTCCGAGTCTGCCGGACGCGCACGCTCCCTGCTCGCCTCCGTGCGCGAGTCACTCTCCTGTGTCACAATAATCCCGAAAGCGAGGTCCTCTCTCCATTCTTCAGAAGAGAAAACCACGGACCAGCGAGGCCACGTGCCCGGGGTCACGTCGGTGACAGGGCCGCGGACATTTTTGTGTTTTAAGAAAAGAATTTCAATAGCGTTGCAGAGGATGAACTGAAGGCGCAGGACCCGCGGGAGGGACGTGCCCTGTTGCCGCCGCCCGTGCGGAAGCGCAGTGAGGACGGATCCGAGGCGGCAGGGACGGGGCCGGAGGAAGCGCGCAGGCCGAGGGATTGCGGGAGGCAGAATTGCCAGGTATGGGTGGCTGACCAGATGTTGGAGTGAGTTTTTCGTGTTCTTAATTTAATAAGCATTTATAGAGCACCTTTTGTGAGTCGAGCACAGTTTTAGTTACTTTGTATTAATAATGTTAACTGATTTAATGTTCACAGAAAGCCACGGGAGAGAAGAACTGTTACTGTCTTCACAGATGAGGGAGTCGAAGCACAGAGGTGTTAGGTGACCTGCCCAGGGTCACACAGGGAGTACAGGAGGCAGGATTTGAAGCTGGGCAGTTGAGCTTGAGTCTGAGTAGCGGTGGCACCAATGACAAAGACAGGGAACTAGGGAGAAAGGGCAGCTTTGGACAGGAAGACAGATTTGTTTCTGGATCTGTGGAATGTAAGACATCGGTGAGGTGCCCAAGAAACAGGCGGGCACGCGGGAGCTTTCCAGAGAGGTCTGAGCGTGTCGAAGACGAAACGGTTCCTGACACTTGTTGCAGACAGTGGTGCAGACTCTGCCCGGAGGCAACCCTGGCGAGAGGTTCGGGGCCTCTGCAGCGGGGCCCTGCCGGGGGCAGAGAGTGGACCCAGCTCGACTCCACAAGGACAAGTGGAGGTTTGTAGCCGAGGAGCAGGGTGGGGTCAGTGGGTGGATATTTGCTGAGAGGAGGCCTGGGGTGAGGCAGAGTCTTGCTGGACGGCCGGACAGAATTCTAGGTGACAGCGGCCAGGGTGACAGATAGCAGGGTGGTCAGATACCAAGGATAGGGGGTTTTCGCCAGCTCACTTAGCAGGATTCTTGCCCAAACTGGATTCTGCAAGGACAGAGAGGGAAGCCCCAGGTCAGGCCTCGCAGGCAGGGGACTCAGAGGAGCTCAGAGTTTGGGGCAGAAGAGAGAGACTTTGTCAGCTGGAGACAGACATATTGACGTCTTCAACACATAGGCACGGTGTAGTCAAAAGAGTCACCCAGGGTCCCTGGGGGCCAGCAAGAGAGACAAGGGCCAAGGCCCCAGCCTGGGGACGCCAACTGGGGGTGGGGCCTGGACTGAGGAGGAGGGGCCACCGTGGCTGAGATGCCCACAGGTGAGGCCGGAGACTGTGGTGTCGCAGGGCAAGAGTGTCAGAGACAAAGGGACGGGGGCGGGGCGGGGGCTGAAAATGTTAACTGAATCTGGCAACAGAGAGCCCCTGTGGCCCGGGCTAGAGCAGTGGCCGGGGCTCCATGGCGGGCTGAGCCGTGCAGGGGAGGCAGTGGGTGTGGGCAGAACAATCTGGCTGCAGGTGGAGAGAGAGGACGGGAGCTTCCAGGCCGGAGGAGGCCTTCGGTTGGTTTGTTTCCCCTTCGATGCAGGGGAGTCTAATGCCGCAGGAAGTGCGCAGCAGGGAGGGGAGAAGTTACAAACCGTGGGTGGGAAGAGGTTGTTGAGGGCACAAAGCCCCGCTGGGGACGGGGGGGGACACGCTGAGATTCGACAATTGTTCCTCTGAGGTGGGGGCAAGGTGGGAGGTGGAGGGATGGGGACGTGTACAGATGGTGAGGAAGAGGAGGGACTCGGGGGTGACCTCTGGACTCCCAACTCAGATTTCCGTGTGGACGGCGATGCTCTCGCCGATGTTTGGGGAGGGTTTTGGGAGACGCGGGTGAAGCTGCTTCGGGTGCGCAGTCCGCTGCTGGCGGCGCGGCCTGGGCTGACGGATGGGGCTGGTGCTGGAGGTGTAGGTGAGGGGTCACGGCATGAGGGGACCATCGAAGCCTTGGCCTGGACAAAGTCACGCAGGGGTGTGTGGAACGAGGAGAGAACATGGCTGAGGACCAGCCTTGGGGAGGAAGGGGCGCAGGAGGGGGGATCGCGGTGCTGTGGGAGCCGGAGGGGGAGGCGTCTGGGAGCCGGCACCGCGGAGTCGTGTGCGGCTCAGCAAGGCAGTCGGACAGAATAAAGGATTTATTCTGTGTTTTGGATTTAGCACTAGCGAGGTTGTTGGTGACCTTGGCAGACGCCGTTTCCACGGAGTGTGGGGGGAGAAGGGCAAACTGGACTAACTCGATCGCTGGAGTCCCGCAGCGCAGAGCCGGCCAGCGCAGCGCGCTCGGGTAGAAAACAAGCCGTTGCGGCCTGCGTGTGTCTCATCCCTCGGGGAGTTTCCTGCCAAAGAATGTTGGGAATTCCAGGAAATCCACAGTTCGCAGAGCCCCACTTGTCCTCGTGTGGCAGAGCACTTGGAGAGAGCTCTCCCCGACCCCTTCTCCGTGTCCCCGGCCAGGGCACAAGCTCACACGAATGTCCTTCTCTGTCCCGTAGGCCGCATCTTGGACCTGAAGACGGGGACGGTGAAGAAGGAGGGGCAGCAGTCATCCATGAGGATGTGCATGGGCTCCCGGCGCTCCTTCATCTGCAGGATGAGGTCTGTCGGGGCGAGCGCGGGGCCGTCGCCGTGCGGTTTGCTCCCTTCCATCCCAGTGAGAGCCTTGCCTGGCTGCGGCGGTTGCACGTGCCGACTCGGTTTCCCTCCAGTGACGTCATCGTCTTGACCTTGGCGTGTGAATATTCAGGCACCTTGGTCTGGGCAGGACCCCACCCCCTTCCTCCCGCCCCACGGTGTCTGACTTCGGCCCTTTTCTGCCCCTCTGAGGTCTGCACCCCCTTGTCCACGGTCTCACTGGACTTTCTGCCCATTCTCCAGGGCCTTTGCCAGCCCAGCGTCTGGAAAGTTCCACAGTTCTCACCGTGTTTTACATTAAGACCAACTGATTTTACACTAACTCTTACATTTCCTGTGGCAACTCACACATTTTTAATTGGTCTCTAACTGTTGTGTTGCTGATCGATTTTTTTTTTTTTTTTTTGAGACAGAATCTCTCTCTGTCACCTGGGCTAGAGTGCCGTGGCGTCAGCCTAGCTCACAGCAACCTCAGATTTCTGGGCTCAAGCAATCCTTCTGCCACAGCCTCCCGGGTAGCTGGGACTACAGGCACATGCCATGATGCCTGGCTGATACTTTCTATTTTTAGTAGAGCTGAGGTCTTGCTCTTGCTCAGCCTGGTCTCTGGCTCCTGAGCTCAAGCAATTCTGCCACCTCGGCCTCCCAGAGTGCTGGGAGCCACCGCCCAGCTGCTGACTGATATTTGGAGCGTCAATATCTTGGCTGCATGAGTAAGTTATAACACCCCGAGGATGGAGGCTCTGATTTACACCTCTCTGAGCCTCCCTGACGTCTCGCCTAGTGCTCTGCACATATTTGGTTTGTACGTCGCAGTTGGAGAATTGCAGGAGGGACTGAACTTTGGAGTCATCAGGGAAGGTTAGCTGTTCCTCAAAGAAGAGAGAGCCAGGATCTTGGATCCTCAAATCCAGTTCACCCTATGGTTTCAACCCTGTGGCCCAGAGGGACGGATGGCATTGCCTGCAGGGAGGGTGGTGCGCAGGAAGAGTCGAATCCGTCTGGGCCGTGGAGTTCACGAGGCAGTGACAGGAGGTGACGCTGCTGGCACATTCACGTGTTCAGTTATTTGGTTCAACAAACCGAAGTTGAGGGCCCGCCGTGCAGGGTGCTCTTCCAGGTTCTGGGCAGTCGGTGCCAAATCAGACAAGGTCCCTGCCTCAGAGAACTTCATTTCCGTGGGGGGACACACGACAGACCACAGCGCCAGGTGACCGTATGGGCCGTCGGGTGGTGGTAAGCGCCGTGGAGACGAAACAAAACAGCTGTGAGAGGAACCGGAAGTAGCAGGTGTCGCGGATGGCGGGGTGAGGCCTCGTTGATAAGGCGGCTTCTGCGCGGAGGTGGGAAGGAAGGAAGCGAGCGAGGCAGGGGAGTGTCTGGGGATGCCCAGCGCCAGGTGGCGGAAGAGCAGGTGCGAGGCCGAGGCAGGCATGTCGCTGCGTGTTCGGGGAATGACGAGGGGTCGCTGTCTGCAGAGCAGGGTGAGTGGGGCGCGGCGGGGCAGGAGTGCTCAGGACGAGGGTGGCTGGCGGGAGATGCTGGGCCACGCCGACTTTGCTGGACTCCCCTTTCACTCTGAGAGGGGAGGTCGCTGGAGTTTGATTGTAAGAGTTGCACGTTCTGACGCTTTTAGAAAATTGCTCTGGTGTCGTGCGGAGAGTAAACCTGCCGGGGAAGGAGATGGTGGAGTGAGGAGGCTGTCGCGGTAGTTCTGGTGAGAAACGCCACAGCGCAGCGGCTGCGGTGGACGGCGCCGGGGTCTGAGTGATCTAGAGGCAGAGCCAGGCTGAGGCGGGCGTGGGGGAGAGGGAGGTCCGAGTTTCTGCCCGCCGGATCGGAGAAGCGCAGTCGCCACTTCCTGAGGGGGAGCGGCTGTCAGGGAGCTGGACCGGAGTCGGAATGTTCGGGCCGAGATGCCTATCTGACGACTAGACGTGCGGACAGGTGGACGTGTCAGGTGGACGTGTCATTCCGGAATCCAGGGGAGGGGTGGGGCTGGAGAGGGGACTCCGGCGCTGCCGATAGGATCGGTATCCAAAGCCTGGAGACAGAGGGACGTGCGAGCTCACCTGGGAGGTGAGGGTGGAACCGGAGGGTCAGAGGACGGGCCCTGGGCGCGCCTGCCTGGGGGAGGCGGGAAGAACCAGCAGGGGAGCCGAGGCAGGCAGGAGGGGAGCGAGAGAGGGCGAGGGACACTTTGGAAGGCAGGAGGAATCCACCGCCAGAAGCTGCCGCTGAGGCCTGGGGACCGATCACCGGATGCAGGGGGCAGCTGCCTTCCTGCCTCATCGCTTGCGGGGGCCGTGACTTGCTGCCCAGGCCTCTGTTGGTGCCACAGAGTTCCAGACAGCAGATGCTTTGACACATTTCCCTAATTAAAAGTAATCTTCTAAAGCAGCTACACTCCGTTAGACAAAATGTTATCCTAGAGGCTGGTTAATCCCCGTAGACCAGCGCGGCTGCCTGTGTCGAGGCTGGAGGCCGGCCTCTCCCGCGCCCGCCGGGCCCTCAGCGCCGGCAGAGGCCTCGCTCCCTTTCACGAGAAACGGCCCCGCAGGGGCCTGAGCGTAGCTGCTCTTTCCTCTGGGCAGCTCCCTCCAGGCTGGGCATCTGGGATTCTTCCAGAAGGCACGGATGGAACCCCCTACACCCCCTGCCTCGCGCCGCAGGGTGGTGCTGCAGGCTGCATGGACGGAGGATTGGGTCCCCGACTGCAGGCTGCATGGACGGAGGATTGGGTCCCCCAGGCTGCCTGTCCCCACCCCGCTCAGCGGCAGGGCGAGCTGGCAGCAGGACCGTCAGTTACATGTTCTGAGTGACATTTTTACCTTTTTTCTTTCTTTGCTTTTCTTTGTTTTTGAAAACAAGTTGCTCCATTGTTGTGTGGAGAGCAAACCTGCGGGGGAAGAGAAGGGTGGAAGTGAAGAGGCTGTTGCGATAATTTTTTTGCTCCTTTGGCATCAGCGTCCATCCAGGGACAAAATGCCATCGGTTAATACAGTTGGTCCCAGCAGCTCTGTCCTGCAGCTTTGGTGAACACAGTGAATGCCCCTCCTGGCTCCCTGGGCGTTTGGGAGAGCACCAGCAACATGGATTCTTAATTGCATCACCTAAGCAGTTCCCTTAGGAATAAATCGATCGGAAGGTCATCATATACCACTTTTACTAGTGGCCTGTAATGCCATTGTCACTGCCTCCTCAACCGACTCCAGGCAGTGCCCCCGTCCCCGCCCTGGTGGCCTTCGAGGGACGTGCTTCAGGTTGCTTTTCGGAGTGCCAGGCCCCTGTTACCTGTATTTATCTGACAGGCGGGCAGCCCTGCCATCTGCTAAGAGCATGACCTTCTCCTCCAAATAAAGCAGCTTAGTTTCAGCAAGGCTCTGGGCACGTCTGGCAGGAGAGGGCAGGGGGCCGTGCCCACGTCCCTGGGCGGCAGTGTCGTGGCTGATCCTGCTGTGAAAACCACACTGGTGCTGGCAGCTGTCCAAGGACTCATATCTGGGCTGTATTGAAAATCCAGACGTCTAAGACGTTACTGGCGATGCAGTTGGGAAGTGGAGACACACCGAAAGCGCGGGCGCGTACACCGCGCAGCAGTCAGCGCCGCCGTGGTGCCAGCTTCAGACGTCAGCGTCTGAGGGGCTGAGAGGCCCCGGAGAAGGGAGGCAGAAGCGTCCTCCCCGAGTGTGCCATGTGACATCCCTGCCTCCCGAGGGGCACCTGCAGCAAGACCCGATTCTAGACCCGTCGTCCTGCCCCACCGTCTCCTGCCACTGGTGGGCGCCCGGCCTGCTTCTTCCTAGCGCCAGAACCGTGTGTGTGAAGCGGGGAGTTTCCACAGCTGCGATGCTAACGCCGGAGAAGAGGCTACTGTTCATCGACGGGCAGCATCTGTTTTGAGTTGGTGTCTCTGCTCAGGCCAGAAGGGACACGACTGCGGTCATCACCCAATTCTCTTGTTTTCCAAAAGCCACCCAGTTCCCACTGAAATGATCTGTAAGACGAGCACAGCGGGATTCTCCTAGAGCCCTTCCGCGGATCTGCAGCTTCTGGGCTGGGCCCTGTCCCATTCCCGTGTGTGTTTCTATGTGGGTCGTACTCTCAGGCACGCGAGCCTGCCTCCGCGCCGTGGAGGGACACTGGCTCTTGGTCCCACCTGCACGAACGTGTACGCGTCAGTTAAGGCCCTTCTACTTGACTGCGGCGCTGTGTGTTTTATAAACTTGCCTGGTCTTCATTCTTTCTAACACGTTTGTCAAACCGTAGGTGTGGAAATGCTCCTTTGGACCACCTTCCTCTGAACAGAATAACCACCATGAGGAAAAGGTTCAGGTCAGTGCCCTTTCTGGCGTGTGCTTGGGACCGCACCGCAGACAGCTCGGGAGCCCCACTCGGAGAGCGTGCTTGGTGTAGGGAGGACTAAGGGAACCACACGTTGGGTGGCGGCGGCCGAGATGAGAATGGGGAGGAGAGTGGAATTTGGGGCTTTCAGACCATGTGGGAGGAGGGAGAACAGGACGGTGGTAATCAGGGTTCAAAACCACAAAGGCAGACCAGGGAGCCTCGTGGCCTAGATGCCCACGGAGTCGCAGCGTCCCTGCCTCACCCTCGCGTGACAAAAACAGCTTCACGAATGTTCCTTCTGCAGGAACGGTCTCGGCCCCGTGAAGGAGGGAGAAGCCCAGTATGCTGTCGTCCACTGCACGGGCTACATCAAGGCCTGGCCGCCAGCAGGTAGGCGGACCTGCACCTGTGTTCCGAGGCTGGGCGCTGCTCACAGCTAACCGTGGTGTCCTGTTAGAGATGTAGTCTTACAGGAAGAGGCAGGAAGATATTCTTATTTTCTTTTATAGTTGGAACATAATGATCTTTATATTTGGAAACGGTCCTGCTACTTGAAACTAAGGTTTCTAAAAAGAACTAGTTCTGCAAAGGTGATTCGAGCCTTAGCGGATCATTGCTAGGTTCTGTCACCAGAGCACTCGGCAGAGTGACAGTGGCAATTTGGAATGGGAGTCGTACCCAAGTCATTAGAGCAACGCAGCGAGCACCTCTCACACTCACCAGGTGGGTTAAAATAAAGGACAGGTAATAACCGGTGTTGGCGAGGACTCAGGGCAACGGGAACCCTGGTACACAGCTGTGCAAACGAGAAATAGTGTAGCCTCCTGGGAAAACAGTCTGGCAGTTCCTCAACGTGTTAGACACAAAGTTACCACGTGATCCAGCAATTTTCGCTCCTAGAGATATACTCAAGAGAATTGAAAACACAGGTACACAAAGAAATTTGTACGTGAATATTCATAGCAGAATTATTCATAATGGCCAAAAAGTGGACACAGCTCACTTGTACACCAACAGACGGAAGAATGGATAAGACACGGTGTATTCACATAAGGGAATATTATTCAGCCGCAAAAGTAAATGCAGTAGTGGTACAGGCTACAATACGGACAAACCTTGAAAATGTCATGCTAAGTGAAAGAGGCCAGACACAGAAGGCCACATGTTATATGATTTTATTTATGTGAAACGTCCAGAATAGGCAAATCCACCAAAACAGAAAGTAGGTTTATGGTTTCCAGGTGGTACACGGAGGTAAGAGTGAGGGGTAGCTGCTAGTGGGTACAGTGTTTCTCTGTGGGGTGACAAGAGTATTCTAAAATTAGATAGTGGTGATAATTGCCCAACTAGGTTAACATACTAAAAACTACTGAATTGTACACTTTAAGATGGTAAATTTTGTGGTGTGTTATATCTCAATAACACTGTTCTTAAACAAAAGGATGTATACAATGTTAAACCATTTGTTTATACTTTATGGCCCAGAATGTGGTATAACTCAGTGAATATTGAATGTCAGCTTGAGGACACTGTGTATTCTGCTATTGTTGGATGAGCTGTTCTTTAAATGCCAATTAGATCAAGTTGACTGATAGTGCTGTTAAGGGCAACTATGTCCATGTTGATTTTTCCCTGCTTGACATATCAATTACTGAAAGAGGAGTGTTGAAGTCTCCAATTATAATAATGCCTTTGCCCATATCTCTTTGTAGTTCTATTAGTTTTTGCCTCACATAATACGCGTTAAGGATCGTTAAGTCATCTTGGAGCATCGACCCCTTTATGTCATGTACCTCTTTATACCGATAATTTTCCTTGCTCTGAATTCTGCTTTGTCTGAAATTAGTATCACTTCTCTAGCTTTCTTTTGATTATTGTTAGCATGATCTATCTTTCTCTATCCTTTTACTTGTAACTGTTTCTTTATATTTAAAGAGTTTCTTGTAGACATCATATGATTGAGTCTAGTCTTTTAATCCACTCTAACAATCTGTCTTTTAATTGATATATTTAGACCATTCACATTTAACATGACTGTTGAGATGGTCTAATTAATGGCCACCATGTTTCCTACTCATTGCACTTACTCTTTGTTTCTTCGCCCCTCTTTTTTTGCCTTCTCTAGTTTTCACTGAGCATTTTATATGATTTCATTTTCTTTTCTCTCTCAGCATATCACTTGTATTTCTTTTAAAATATTTTGTTGTTTGCCCTAAGTTTGCAATTTACCTTTACAACTAATATAAATCTATGTTCACATAATATTATACCACTTCATGGGCAGTGCAGGCACCTTCTGCTCTCATACTACTGCTCTCATTCATTTCACTTGTCCGTACCCTGTCACCACCCAATGCACTGTTACTGTTGTTACTTTGAACAGACAGGTGCCTATGAGATCTGAGTTTCTGACCTATGCCATATTCTTCTTCCTGGGGAACTTATTTTAATATTGCTTGCAGGGCAGCTTTACTGGTGATGAATTCTCTGTTTTTGTTTTTTGTGGAAAGTCTTTATTTCTTCTTCACATTTGAAGGATAATTTCACTTGATATAGAATTCTAAATTTATTTATGCTGCTTAGTATTCTGTGAACTTCTTGGATCTGTGGTTTGGTGTCTGTCATTAATTTTGGAAAATTCTTGGACATATTTCTTCAAATATTTCTTCTCCATTTTCTCTTTTTTCATCTTTTGGTATTCCAGTTACACACATATTATATCTTTTCAAATTGTACCAAAGTTTTTGGTTATTCTGTTCTGTTTTTTTTTCTTGTTTTCATTGTTTTTTCTCTTTGCATTTCAGTTTGGGAAGTTTCAAATTGATGTTTCTTCAAGTTCACTGATCCTTTCCTTGACTGTGTTCAGTCTACTGATGAGTCTATTAAAGGCATTCTTCATTTCTGTCACAGTATTTTTGATTTCTAGTATTTCCTTTTGATTCTTTCTTACAGTTTCCATCTCTTTGCTCATCTCTTTGCTCTTATTCATTTGTTATTACAAATTGTCTGTTTTTTCATTAAAGCTTTTAACTTATTAATCACAGTTATTTTAAATTCACTGTCTAGCCATTTCAAAATCAATGTCACATCTGAGTTCTGATGCTTGCTTTGTCTCTTCAGACTGTGGTTTTTTTGTTTGTTTGTTTTTTGTTTTTTTTGCCTGTTAGTATGCCTTGTAATTCTTTGTTGAAATCAGACATGATGCATCAGGTAGTAGGTAATGAGGTCAGTAGGCCTTTAGTGTGAGGTTTTGTATTAATCTTGCTAGGAGTTGTGCTCTGTCGAATGCTTGTTGTAGCTGTAGGTGCCAGAGGCTATAAATGCCCTTCATATTCTTGATTTTCTCCCCTTCTACCTTTGGGCTTCCCAAAGAGCTGCTTCTCAAATAGAGTCTATGCCTTGTCCCATTCATCCGTAACCCACTGTTACCATACAGTGATGCCTGTTGGTGTGGTGATGGGAGTGGGGGAAGGGAAGTGGCCATGACCTTATGATTAAATCTCAGTCTTTCAGCCGACCTATCCTGGGTCTGTGACCTTCACAAGTGTTTCCTGGCTCCTCCTCCCCTATTTGGTAATTGCTTGGAGAGTAGCCCTTTGTTA